ACTGGGTTAGCAACCGTTGAGGCACAAGTCCAGCGATAAATGCCCTCATATCCCCCCCCCCCCACCACCACCACCACCACCACTACCATCATCATCATCATCATCATCATCATCATCATCATCATCATCATCATCATCATCATCATCATCATCATCATCGTCAAAATCCGTGATTTGTTTTCTCAGGGGTACGTTTAATGAGAGCTAGTGAAGTTCTGCATTCGTTTCGGACAGATCAGTTTTCCATACACTGTGTTGATACTCCTGAGATTGTACCCCTTTTCCCTAACTGCACTCTTCCTTCAAAAAGGCTGAAGGACTTGATTGTTGCATATTTTTACTCTGTGGTTGCCTGTCTACAGTCGAAGACCCCGCGCGATCGTTTGCTGGTTTTCGCATATTTGACCGGCAAGTGAACCGTCACCGACTGGCTATCAAATTTGGCTTTGTCCTAAATGCAAAATGTGACAGTTTTTGTCTACGTTCTTTCAGTGATATCAAACAGGTGATCTGAACTGGGCACAAAAGCTAGCCTTGCCTAAAAGGTGGCTTCGATTCTGAAAGAAGTGTCAGTCATCGTCCGGAAATAGTTCAGATATGAAAAGCGTCCGAATAATGCAAGATCCTCTAGTCACTATGAGACTGCCTAAGAGAGCTTTGGACTGAGCCTCACAGCGAGATGGTACGATTATTTCCCGTAAACCGATCAATGGGCGGCCTTTCTACGATAGTTAATAACCGTAATCACAAATGACAGGAAAGCGGGTCGCGGCCCAATGGTAGAGCCTTTGATCCATTGACCAAAGACCCTGGGCTCGAATCCCAGGTGTTCCAAACCTGTGGTTGGGTATGGTTGGCTGATGACGGCCAAATAAGCCAGAAATGGCCACCCCAGTCTCCCCTGTCATTGTCGGCAGCCCCTTCCGTCATTCTGATAGCCTTCGTCACATTTTTGCCCTCTAGGTTTGAAGCGCGAGCTAATTCAAAATCCGTCGGACCTTCCATGTGTCGTTCTGTTCATCGTGACTTTGTGTTTCTTATTAGTCAAGTGAAAAACAGGTAGTCTTTACTTTTGGTGCTTGTTTTAGGCCCCACAAGAAGATGTGTAAGGAGGTGGATCTCTGGTGTTGGTCATTCATGTGACGGAGGACGATGTTATTATGCGAACAAATCCTGACAGCGATGTACGTCAAAGAAGAGACCGTACAAGACTGGTATTCGCAGTTCAGACCCCGAGACGCACAACTATAAGCAGGACGACCCGCTAGTGCTGTAGATGATCTTCTGACGGTAAAGATAGTTACTACTTTCTGAAAGACGGGGTAAGCTGTGGTGTAAGAAGTGGATATTTGAAAAAGATGATGGAGATCACCTATGCCCGATCGAGAAAGGCAAGCTTAATCAGTTGTACTGGTTACCATTTCCAAACAAGAATAACCCCTCTCTGTCAGGCAGTTTCAAATTTATCGATAACTGTGTTTTGCGTAATGACGAAACAATATCTGTGCTGTGACCTAGCTAGGAAACGCACCCTGGTTCATGTCAAAATTCAACCTTAACCCGAAGGTTGAAATTCTATGACAGGGATAAACACCGGGTAAGTGTGCATTGTTGCCGAAAGACTTCCCCAGCAAGGGACGCACGATAATCGACTAATGATTAGGATCGAAATTATTTAACGTCTTGCGGCAAGAAACAAATAAAAGGAGAGGGCAACGGCTGAGACAGTGAGACAATGACTGCTTCTCAAATCCGGTTTAATGGACTGCACAGAACTCGCAGTTGACGCTGGTGGGAGGAGGACGAACAACTTATAAAACTACTTAACAGACAGGAGACGTACGCTAATAGCTACGCAAGGATAGTTGACAAGGAAGATGTGGGATCACCTATGCCCGATCGGGAAAGGCAAGAACCTTAATCAGTTGCACTGGTTACTATTTCCAAACAATGATAATCCCTCTCTGACAGGCAGTTTCAAATTTTTCAAAAACTGTGTTTTGCGTAATGACGAAACAAGATCTGTGCTGTGACCTAGTTAGGAAACGGCACCCTGGTTCATGTTGAAATTCGACCTAAACCCGAAGGCTGGTATTCTTTGACACCGGATAAAGGTGGATTATTACCAAAAGACTTCGTCAGCAGGGAACGCACGATAATCGAACCATTTATAAAACTACTTAACAGTCAGGAGACATACGACCAAGACCAGGCGGTGGGACCAGAATTGTCTGGTGGCATGCCAATGGGAAAAGTGTAGGATACACAATGAGCAGATGCGTACTGGTTTGTCGATAATGAGCAAGCACATGCGTTCATTGCAACGCCAGGTGCTGGGTTGCGGTTATACTTGGATGGGTCCAGTGGCAAAAAACACATTTTTACCGCAATAACTGTTGTCCTGCTACATAAATTGGTTAGGGTGGACATTTGCATTTAAGTAGTCCCTTTATACTCAGGGGCGGTTTTGAAGATTTTCCGGTTTTAATGCATAAAGTCACGCGATATCATGATATATACGATGGATTGTTTGATTACATGTCTAATCGCGGTAATAGACTATGTTGACCTTTAGGTTCACAGGCACTATTTGGAAGATTCGGAGTTTCGTACTATCCACGCTTTGTCACCCTGGTAATACCCACATGCGCTTCCCCAAAACCGACTTGTAGGTGACTGTCCAATCACGTTGTAAGTGGAATCTCACTGGATTACTTCTCTGTGTTCAAATAAGTCTCGACACCTCTCTAACAGACCTCACGAAATGGGCCTCCTGGTATCGTATTTGCTGTTTTCAGTAAGCTATTTGGTAGACAGTGTTGACTATCCTAAAATATAAACTTCCTCTCAACTTAAAGTGCATCTAAACGTGCAAACAGAGAGCACCATTTGGGGGAGCACTTACCCTGAGAATAGGGTCGACGATGATGCGGAAGAGGATGAAGGAGAGTGTCATCGCCAGGATGAGGAAGACTTGGAAGAGGCTGGGTAGACCATCTGTGAACATGCGCACGGTGAATTCATGGTCGTAGGGGTACTTCTCCCAGTTGAAGGCCAACTCCTGCACTGCTATGTACGTTTGCCGCAGGAAGTTGGCCACCGTGGGCAGAGCGGCTTGCCTTCGGTACTCGCTGTCCTCACTGGTATCGGCCAGAGTGGCCTGCACTCCGGACATGGCGAGCGCAGTGCTGCTGCCGGTGATTAGAACTGTCCAGAACAGTGCACAGGCCATTTTAGAGCCTTTTCAGGGGAGAGCAATGGAGAGGAAGGTTAGTACGTGTCCATAGTGGAGTCATGGACACTTATTATTTAGTATGCCAAAGTCATTCCACGCACTTATTTGAGGGTAGGGGAGGTGGGGATGCCATACTGAGCAACCACCACCCGCCGTCGAACGTCCCCTCGCCTCTACATACAGACTCGCATGAGCGGCCGTAGCCATGACAACCGGGATGTAAACACGCGAACGCCCACACGACAAACATGACACCTGACAGGTGGCCAATGGGAGTGAAGCGTTGCGCGGGCGAACTTGCTTTGCTCACTTGACCGTCTTTTGAAGACGCGAGCTGTTGGCAGGCCCTTACAAGAGCCCGAGGACGGTGAGAAATGCTGTGCGGAAGGCACAGTAGCCGCGTATAAAAGAGAAGATAGACGATTGGAGAAAGGTAGTGAAGGTTAGCATGAGAGGCGCGAATTATCCCACCTCCTCTGAGCAACTCACGAGGCCTTAACTCTGTCTACCCATCCCAGAACTGTCCAACGGATAGCCTGTACTGATAAGCTGACTCCTGATCGAAATAGCGGTGGGATCGGAATGACCCTAGAAGTCATGTCTCATCTTGTCTGGCCCCGTTGCGAAAAACCCGAGGGTCTCTGAGGGGTTCGGGCCTACGACAGGAAGTGCAAGGTTTCAGCTGACAGTTTTCCTGGCATATTTGTCCAAAGCCCTGCTGCGCCAAGGTCATCCACCTTCGAAGCTAGCGGTCCCAGACACGCTGAACCCACAATCGGGCCGGCTAAAACGTCTCACGGACGTCTATATCCATATACCGCTCGGTTAATACAACGCACACCATTTGGATAAAATACACTTGAACCTGGTCACACAAACGCACAAAGGGGTGGACACCTCTACCTCTCTCTCTCTCTCTCCTCCATCGCTCGCTCCCTCCCTCCCTCCTTCAGAGGCACAACGGAACCATGTCACCCTGGCCTGGCCGGCGGCAATTACAGCTTCTGTGTACCATAAATGCCTCCTTCTGGTACCTTCAAAGCACCAGCAACTCAAGGTATTGTGAGTAATAGTGAAATTTATTACCTCATCCGGTCCTTCCCCTTCTGTTTAACACTTAGGCAGAGCTGGTAGAGCGACAGGGATGCAACGACCCAGTCCTGGACGCCAGCTGCGACACCGCACCTCCCGGACGTAACTGCACTCGAGTACTACTAGCGGTCTGATTCTCCACCAATCACAGCTATCCAAACCGGTCAATCAACATCAAGGTCAACGCAGACCTGTCCTAGCTCAGGGTGCTCTGCCACCTACCCCGTCAGCGTTGTTGCCTTCTTCCGGCTGACAGCTTATTCTAACCTGTTCTTCATTCATTCTCTACAAGATAGAATGTCCTCTCTGCTGGCGTCTAACTATTGATTCGTGACCGGGGTTGAAGGTGGTGTTGGCTGGAGTCTGCTCATTTCTTCAGCTGCCGCGACACAGATGTAGCCCCGAAAGACCATGAAAAAGAGGTAAAATACAGTGGCAGCCACCGATTTGCCATGACTGCAGTAAGAGATGTCGTGCTTTGCGCTAGTCATTCGGTCCAGAGCGCACTCAGTCAGTGCGATCAATAATAGACGGGCAGTATCACCAAGGCCAAGGAGACCGGAAGGACAATTCCAGCCTTCGTCATAACCACCGTCGTTGCCGTCGGCAACGACTTCATCATTACTAGCACAAACATTGGCGTCCTACTCCCCCTATTATTATTACTATCAGCATGCTCGTCACCAACAACTACAGTAACAGCACCGCCGGCATCATCAACCGGTCCTACTCCAGCATTGGGTCGGTGAATACCGAAAGGTCGACCACGGGTTCATTTAGTCCTTACGTGCCGTTTTACGAAGACCTATACCTCGCGTACGTACGTAGATTGTGGGATCTTCACCTATGGTATTTAAGAAAGTTGGAATTACAGGCTATGTCTATATTTAAAGACTATGCTCAGAATTCTACTTCAGTGTCTCCCAACTGAGGTAAGATATGGTTATGCAGACGCATCTAAAGAACACAATACCGTTACGGGTTAGGGTGGTTGGGAGTTAGGGGATAGCGTTAGAAATTAGGACAGCTATTTCTCAACCATTCAAAGTACAACCGCGCATTCCCAAATAGCTTTTTTTGCACATAAGTACTTGACGTCGTCGCCTATGCGTTCTCCGGCTCCACGTGTAAAAACCCCCTGTTACCACTGGTCCTGTATTACAGGTGGCTAGGGTTTATTTGCCTCAAGTGCGGCTGCATGACCGTATCTGCGTAGCCCAAACTGCTACTGCATCGTACATTTGAAAGTTGCTCGTGCAAGACGAGGAGTTGTCGCAGCCTCATCAGAGCGAAAGTCCATTCTCCATGGCGTTCACCCTGGCCATGACTGCAGAGTTACAGAGAATGTTTGTCAGTTATGCCTGAGTCTCACAGAAATCTGTCAGTTAAGGAAGGCATGGCGGATTTAAAGGCTAGATGTCGTACCAAGTCCAACTGAGAGAGGATTCATTGAAACTAGAACTAGTCCTGAGATTCCAAGTTTTTGAGTTCAAGTTTTAACTGGTTTACGGGGCTTCTGCAAACCTGCTCTCTCCCAAAGAGCCAAAAGTAGAATGAGAAGACCGAAAACCTGAACAACTATTTGGGAGACATCTATATAAAGTTTTTTAGAAAACATCGTGGGTTCGGAACTTTAGGGCGCGGACAGACATTCTTGTACCGATAGATGCCAGGATGCGCGTTCTGGGGACTTATGACGTTACTGATGAGACACGTACTTCAAACGAGGGAAAGACCATCTCTATTTTGGCTGCGTCTAGAAACTGTTTTCTAGAGTGGGCGAAAGAGAAATGAAACACAGGGCATTGATCCAGGCAGTAATGTGTTCGCCTGGTAAACACACGCACGGCTGTGTAGAAGTCAATAAGTGTAGGCTAATCAGTACCCTTCCAGCTACCCATCTCCTGGCCACATTTCGAGCAATCTTACTCCAAGGTGAAGACGAGATCTCGCGCTAGACTGTACTTATCCTTATGAGGGAATTTGTCTCCAGTGAAATAGACTTTCGCAGTATCTATCTCGCTCTATCGTCCCACACCCACCGGGCTCTGAAGAGAAGACAAAGTTAAGACAACCGGAGACAGTCTGATTTATAATCCATACATGCGGCAATTCACTTCAAGAGAAGGGAAAGGCTCGGATGTCTCAGAAGCAGGAAGTCGCATAAAGATCACACCAAGAAAGAGCTGGTTTTGCCTGATCTGAAAACAACCCCATTTTCCCATCATTTGGCAGGCTTGCAATCCACTACCGTCAGTTCATCATGGTATTTTCAAGTGGTCTGATTTATTGTAGCGAGAAGTAGGCTGACTTACTATAGGAAAGGATTCACCAAAATCACTCTCTCTCTCTCCCGTTTCTCTCTGTCATGGTCCAATGATCTGTACGATCCTTTATGATCCAACAGGTATAAAAGTGGACTTCATGACGGCGTTATGTCAGGCCTTATCTAACGCGCGTCACACGAATGTACAGTAATGGTTAAAGACTCAAGCAGACTCAATGCAGCCCAAAAACGCACGAGGTTAGCCAATGTTGCCTCCGGACGCAACAACAGAGCAGCCCGTGTGAGAAGGCACACAGAAGCTGCCGTCATGGCTGCAGATGGAGACATTTGGCGCGCGAGGTGTGATAGACGAGTTCACCTGTTCGTGCGACCTAATGAGTCTTCACTGCGCACGACTTAGCTACCTAACATGGCCGCTAGGTCATGTGTGACAACGATTCGTAAGTCACGTGGGTGGTGTACTTCGAGACCTCTGAGTCACGCCACCCGTGAAGGCTGTGGGTCACGGTTGTGAAGAGATACTTGTCATTGGCAAGGCTTTCGACCCTCAATGCGTGTTTAGCCGTCTTTCATGGTTAAGGGTAGCTGACTCGGGTATTCCCAATGGTCGACTTCCCTAAATTACAAGTTAGTGAAAACGCATTTTTCTGGACAATCTTTACCGTTGTGAAGAAGCGTTCAGTGGGATCAGCAAACAGTTGCCGCAAGCTGTCTCTTCGGACGTGTTGCGTGTGTGTGCCTGTCTGTCTATACCCTCCTCCTCCTCTTCCACCTCCTCCTCCTACTCCTCATCCTCCTCTTCCACTGCCCCAACTGCGACCGCACCTTCATCTCACACATCGGCCTGGTAGGTCGCTTGCGAATCCATCACACAGAGGCTGACAAACCAGTGCCTGAAGCACCCACCTACACCCACCACACTCGCCTCCACTGCCCACACTACCCTCGCACCTTCACGCATCGCATGAGTCTATTCGGCCACATGCGCATCCACGAGAACGGAATTGACCGCAGTCCCGACTCATCCATCATGCCAAACTCCACCCTCACTTCATCACCCTGCGCGCCCACCGCCCTTCCCGCAACTGGCACCGACACCACCGACTTCGCCTGCCCACACTGTCTACGCACCTTCACCTCTCGCATCGGCCTCGCCGGTCACTTGCGAGTCCATCGAACAGAGACTGGAGAACCACTGCCCGGAGCAGCAGCCTATACCCACCACATTCGACTCAACTGCCCACACTGTCCTCGCACTTTCAGGCATCGTATGGACCTATGCGGTGACATGCGCATCCACGAGAGCGGAATCGATCGAAATTCCGACCCAGCCCCACCCTCCCCTCATCGCCCTGCGCGGCCATCACCACCGCAAACACCACCGCCGCCTCGCCTGTAGCTGACACCGACACCGCCGATTTCTCATGCCCACACTGTCCACGCACATTCACATCACGCATCGGCCTCGTCGGTCACTTGCGAATACATCGTACAGAGGCTGGCGATCCAGTGCCTGGAGCACCCACCTACACCCACAACGCTCGCCTCCACTGCCCACACTGCCCTCGCACTTTCATGCATCATACGGGTCTCTTCGGCCACATGCGCATCCACGACGACCTGCGGTAGACAACCGCCGGTTGTATCGCCCCATCACACCCACCCACCCTGCCTCACCGCCACCAACACCACCCCACCACACATCAACACTCACCCATCGCAAGCACCCAACTGCCACCTCCCACGCAAGTGGGAAGTATGCATCTCGACTCGATCCCCATGTGGCTTTGGCTGCACGGCTGACTTCACTCTGAGACTATTCCGACAGGTCAAGCGTCGTGGATAGGAATTTTGCTGATTGAGGTCCCCACTCGGTCCACGCAGTTCGTCGCGTTGTGTGTGTTGTGTGGAGCGCGGGACTGGTGGGCTGGGAGACGGGCTGAAGCAGCACCTTCCACGCAAGTGAGAGACACGTCGTTCAACCCCCGTTGTGTGAAATCCTGATGTTTGCGTGTATGGGGGGCCAGGTCGTGCTCGTGGCGCACGCAGGCATGGTCAGTCCACCGTGCCAGCCACCGCGCCCATTGCCCACTCCAGTCTGCTGACCGGCTCGGACAGCGGCTGCGGTGTGGGAGTGGGAAGGGAGAGTGAGGTCGACGACTCAGCGCACTTTCCTCACTATAAACAATCTGACACGCTTGAAGCTATCACGGTGCGCTAAAAGCTGTGGCTTGGAAGGTTGCCAACTGACGGGATAACTTGGACCTCCTCCTTGACTAGTGGTGGTCTGAGAGTCAGGCTGCAATAGCTCCTTCTTAATATGGCCTTTATGGCACTCCCACCACAGTGTGGGATCCGAGCCAGGCGTCGGCGGCACTCCTAGGTGCGGCCGTTTCGATCGTGCCAGCCTCAAATCTCTGTTGTGTTGGTGAAAATCCTGGTCATTTGTTGTGTGGACCAGGGGGTGTGGTGGAACGCCAAGGTGAGGATCCGTCCGAGCCATCCACCTGCGGCCTACCTCGTCTCCGGTCTTCTTGACTCCGTCTTGACACCGGGCTCAGGCGGGGGAGGAGGAGAGAGTGTAGGTAGGTGCAGCGCAAGTCTGCCGGCACTATAAACCCCTGCGCAAGTCACCGTCCCTGCTCCCACCGCTGCTGCAGCTGTGGGGCACAGGGTGGACATCATCGAAATCGATGGTCGAACTATCGTGTGTGTCTGTCCCAAACGGACCACGTGGTATATGCGCTGGATCAACACGGGGGCCATATTGGACTCTGGCAGGCGTGATCGGAGTTGCGCACCATAACAAATGCCAACATTTCGGGGTGCGGTGGCGGACCCGATTGTCGACGTACGTCGAGCACACTGGGGCACCGCCACCACCCCACTGTTGTGGTCAATCAAAAGCCTGGTTATTTGTTGTGCGGACCAGGGGGTGCGGAGTGGAACGCCAAGGGGCAGGCTCAACCGTACTTTCTACCTGCGCCCTCCCTCGTCTCCGGTCTTCTTGACTCTGTCTTGGCCCGGAGGCCGGGGGCAGGAGGAGAATGTGAGGTAGATGCTGTGCAAGCCTAATATCATTATAAACTAAATTTTCACACAAGTCACCGTTCCTGCTCTCACCCTGCTGTGGAGCACACGGTGGACATCGTCGAAAACGACGGTCGAACTATCGTGTTTGTGTGTGTGTGTGTGTGTGTGTGTGTGTGTGTGTGTGTCACTGTTCCCAGCACGCATGTGTGTCTCTCTTAGGTCCGAGCTGTGTCCTCCTGTAGCCAATCAGAGAGGGAGCAGCGTTATTTGGTCTCCAGCTCTCACGAGGCTAGTGCCAAGTCTCCCACGGTCCCCGTAGCGAATTGATGGGGAGCCTGGCCCTTTGTCCAATCTCGTCTCCAGTCGGTCTGACTTTAACTCTCTAACGACCCATGATTGGAAAGAGAAGAGAGAATGAGACGAGTGCAACACCCAGCGTCAAGTCCTAAGAGATCTTCAACTGACAGGGTAAATCCGTCCTACGCCGGGAGAAAGCTAGGGTCTGGATGGTTCTTTCGTAGCTCTTCCCTTAGCAGAACTCTCTTGTGATGTTGGATCTCAGTTTTGCGAAGTAATGCCTCAAGGCGTGTTCAGACCAACTGCGAGGTTGTAGCGTTCACTGTCATCTTCCATCACATGGTAAGCGCCTCGCCGTCGCGCATAAAGTGTAGTCCTCATGCAGGTACAGAGTCCTTATGTGCATGTGGGAAACAATGTCCCCCATAAAGCGTATACTTGAATGGACTGCGTCACAGCACTGTAACACATGTTTCCGACTGCTGTTCCTTTTATAGCATAGAAAGTTGTTTTATGTGTTCAGCAGGTACCCCAAACCGCCTGCTAGTCATTTTGTACAAGACAGTCGCATTGCGAGTTTCTTAAAAAGTGCTGCAGCTTCTGCAGATGACAGCCTGCTTGAGAGTTCACACAGAGGAGTTCCGAAACGTCTTAAGAATACATTTTTTGCATTAAAACTGTGAGATTTATTCAAACAGGACATCGAAAATTATGTTACTTTACACATAGAGTGCGTGACCGATCTCATGAAATGTTGGCCAAAATTCTGGAATGCGTTTCCGATTAGTAAGGATTACTTAAGTGGGGTTGTTATACTGATTATCATGAAGCATAAATCCATAACCTTTCGGACTCGCCAGGATGTCGGCTTTTGAATGCACTTCTTTACGACCTCCTGCAGAAACTAAATTTGGTAAAAAATGCCCACTTAAGTAGCATGCATTTTTCCTATTGATTGTCGATGGTCTTATAAATTCAAATATATTTTGTAAAGAAAATGCAAAAAACATGCGTTCTTTTGCTCATTTGGTAGGAAATCACATTTTACTCATACTTTATGCCCGAGGAAGATGCATATTTTGGTTTTAAAAAGTTTCCCAATTCCAGAATAATTTTCAGCCTGATCTGCCATTGCGTCAGCGTTTAGCAATTTCAGTCTACAAGGTGCATGCTTTCCGCGTAAGGAAAATCATGTATTCCTCTGTGCTTTTAAGGAGATGCCACATAGATTTCATGAAATTCTGCAATGGATTCGGACTCTGTTGTATATTTCATGAGGAGTGTTAGTAAGCGGACATGTGCGGTCTTGCATTCATGGACATTGTACGGTCTTAAAATATCATAATCAGAAACTTTTTTAAAACCAAAATATACATCTTCCTCGGGCATAAAGTATGAGGAAAATGTGATTTCCTACCAAATGAGCAAAAGAACGCATGTTTTATGCATTTTCTTTAAAAAATATATTTGAATTTATAAGACCATCGACAATCAATAGGAAAAAATCATGCAAATTAAGTGGGCATTTTTTTACCAAATTTAGTTTCTGCAGGAGGTCGTAAAGAAGTGCATTCAAAAGTCGACATCCTGGCGAGTCCGAAATGTTATAGAGTTATGCTTCATGATAATCAGTATAACAACCATTCTTAAGTAATCCTTCCTAATCGTAAACGCATTCCAGAATTTCGGCCAACATTTCATGAGATCGGTCACGCACTGTAATGAGCCTAAAAATGAATTTGCTGTACATCCGTTCCATAAGATGTGACATAATATGCTCAATAAAAATGCCCAGAAACGAGCTGTCAGTTTTTATTATGTGATGCATTCAACGATGATCGGGAACATGTTTACATTATGCCCAGCCCCTGCCTTGTTTATAACAACCTGCAATTATTGCGCAAATTAACCCGTATTGCAGCGGTACATGGGTGAGGCTTTCTGGCTGAAACCATATTCGGTAAGTGAATCGGGGTCTCGGAAATGTATTCATCCATCGTAATTCTACTGGCCAGCTTACATTAACTGTCGGCATTGAAAGTGTTTTTATTAGTTGTCTCCCTCTATACAACAGCTTCTTATGCTTCGATGTCATGTCGTCCTCGTCGTCAGATACCATTCATCCTCCTCCTCCTCCTCCTCCTCCTCCTCCTCCTCCCCTCCTCCTCCTCCTCCTCATCATCATCATCATCATCATCATCACCACCACCACCATCATCATCATCATCATCATCATCGCCATCATCGTCGTCGGTTTCGAGCGCCTTAAGTAATGGTACTCCGACCCACAGTCTGTTAACAAGCACGCCAACCTTCACTCACCATGTTTAGTGTCGTGACGACCAGGACAGAGTGGCTCACCAAACTGGGAGCGAACCCAGAAGCCGCCTTTCCCAGTATCCATAGGAGCAGTCCACTGATCAACACCGCTGAAGAAACCGCGGCAATCAACGACTCGGATGCGGAAAACAGACAAGCATCGCAACAAGCCCGAGCATCAGCAATGAATGCGGGAGCTGTAAATTATGAATGTGTGGTTGTGCATGGTTTCTGCGTCCTATAAATATTCCACCTCTTGGGCATCCATTACCCTTAGTTGTCCCTGATAATGGACTCGAGTATGAATTCGACACGTCAGATGAATAAAACGCTTACTCCAGCGGTCGCATCCTTTCCTGCTTAGCTATTCCCTGGAACTCCCCATTCACTTGTATCAGTCATCGTCATCGTCGTCGACATCATCATCATCATCATCATCATCATCATCATCATCATCATCATCATCATCATCATCATCATCAGCATCATCATCATCATCATCATCATTATCACCACCACCGGCACCATTATTATTATAGGTTTATCATTACTGCTGTTACCGCGTTCCTCCTGTTCTTCTTTCTCTGCTTTATCATCACCATTATTATCCTCTTCTTCCTTATCTTCTTCCTCTCTATGGTTACTTTCGCGCTTGAAGGGAAGTCAACCCAAACAGATCCTAGAAGTTTTATACCAGTTGTCAAGTAGTCATTGCAAAGGCGATGTGAAAATATCGGCATCGAAGGACCG